CAAGAATTATGAGGACAAGGCTGGAGAATGGAGTTGAGAAGCATATCAGCCATGATTGAATGGTGAGCAGATTTGATAGGTTGAAATGCCTAGTTCGGCTCTTCGATCTTATGATCTTGCTACAAGTCTATCTTTGCGTTGTTCAGGAGACCAAAATTGCATACACCCTGTACATGTAGTCCAACAAATAGGATCAAAGATGTATTTTAGACTTTAAACTAGGTGTTTTAAAAGGAAGAAAGAATTAACAGTGAGATACAGATAAAATTAATGGAAGATGGGAGCAAAGACCAGACCATGCTAGCCAATAACAGTAAGAAACTTTCAGGGAACTGAAATAAATAATATAAAATTAACCATTAAAATAAAAATGAAGATTGATAAAAAGAAAAACAAATTAAGAAACCTATAAGGCAAACGACATAACATCTAAAATGAAATGCAAAACTGATCGCATTAAATTGCAAGTAGGAAACATATATAACAAGGATAATTGGAAAACAGCTTCCTAATGAATAGGAAGAGCATTTACCAATTTAGGAGTGATAGAATGAAGGTGTGGTTGTACAAACAAGTAGCTATGACCAACATAGAGATAGGTGCAAAATTACTAATACACAGATAAAAAATGAGAAGACATCTCAGTCTAGTAAGGATATACAAACCACTCCCACATTGGAAGAAAATTAAAGTGAGGAATATGAAGCTAAATATATTAAAATAATAAATGATACAGAATAACTATAGTAGGGGAATACAGAGGCAAACGGTCTTTTTGCATTGTGAACAGGGCTCTTTTGGTTCACAGCCAGAATCATTGTTTGATTCAGTCATAAGTTATGATCTTAAGTAATACAGCAAGCGCAGGGAGCAGTGTGGCAACATCGATCACAACATAATGTTTACAGGATGTATTAGAGACAAGGGAATAGATTGAAAAAAAAAACACCAAAAATTTAAATAGATCTAGGGAAGGGAAACTGGAAGAATACTAATATAGTGACATTAATAACTTTATTAAAAAAAGATGAATACAATTTGGAAAAAGAAAACAAGCTAGCAAATATGGAACACAGATCAGGGTAAAATTAATTAGAAAGAAAGTCTTGCTAAATATATGGACAATAAACATCACAAAGTTGAGAAAATGAATTCCAGGTGGTTAGGAAAGAAGCAAATAAAGACAAATTGCTAGATTAAATTAGAAAAAAAGATTAAATAAACATTATTATTTAGATTCATATCTAGAGGAAAACAAAGAAAGGGATTGGGGCAGTAAAGAGGATTACAAATAAAAAAATCATACGGACACTGAAATCACCAAAATACTGAATTATATTGTTTATTCGCCAAAGACTAATGGGACACACATAACATTAGATCAGATAAAAAGGGGACATCGAACCTTAGGATAGAAGGGAGAATAGGCTAAAACAGAATAAAATACATAACTAATCTAGTTTGATTGTATTTACGTATACTAAAATAAGCTTGGGAGGACGCAGCAGAGCCATTAATACATATAGGAATATAATTTTAAAAATAAGTGATGTCAGATGACTGGCAGACCACTACTATTCCTCCACTTTAAAAAGGAAATAGAAGTCACCAATGGAACTACACAAAGGTCAAAGCAGAAGTCAGCGATAGGAAAGATATTGTAGCATTTACAAACCTTATTGAATGAGGGAAAAAAAACTTGCCACGCAATGGGTGCGATATATATGGACTTATAAAAAACATGAAAGTACCACATAATAAACTAATGACAAGGTCAGAGCATTTGAAGTCAGTGAGTCAAGCGGTAAAATAGTTACAAAGCTGGTTACAAACACAAGAAACAGGTAGTTACTCATACAGATAGAAACAGGAAGTACTGCTGTGGAATCACTGTCTGTTCTAGGACCGGTGACACTCACGATTTATAGTCACATTTCAAAACTAAAACGTGCTGGAGACACTGAATTGGTAAGGACAATTAGTAACTGACTAATTAGAAGAGGCAGTAGTATGGTGGGGATGTCACTGAGCTAGTGATCCAGAGTCCAGGAGATTAATGATCGGGGCGGGGAGGGACGACATGGGTTTGAACCTCAACATAGCAGATGGTGAAATCTGAATTAAATAAAGCTAGAATTTTAAAAAAAAACATATGTACAAGTCTAATGGTGATCACATAACCTTCTTGACTGTTGTAAAAACCCATCTAATTCATTGATGTCATTTTGCAAAGAAACCTACCATCCTCAATTGGCCTGGTTGAAATGTGACTCCTGACCTTCAGGTTGACTACTGACAGCACTCTGAAGTGGCCCAGAGTGTCAATCAGTTCAAGGATAACTGGGAAACAAATGCCAGCATTGCCAAAAACATCCATGTCCCGCACAAGAATTAAAAACTGAAGCAGTCTGTGACAAAAAAGTGGCATGAACAAAGTTGTAGACATGCAAAATGAATTTCAAAATAAATGTATTCTGAGGCAGTATCTTTTAGAAAGCAAAATAAGGAGGCCATCGACTTTATCCCAATGAGGTTAAACGGAGTGAAGACGCATAGATCTAAGGGTAAAAGTCCATACATTAAATAGTAGCAATTTGCATTTTGAGAAGTTATCAAAACACAAAAACACAGGTTTATTTCTAGAGCAACACAAAACAAAGATGTTATGCTGTATAGAACCTTGGTTAGATCATATTTAATACTGCAGAGCGCTCCAGTCTCCACTTTACAAGAAGAATATAGACATATGGAAAAAAAAAGTACAAAAGAACTAAAAGATGATATTAGAACAGAGTAAAACTATCAGGGAAGTTTGAACAGGCTGAGTCTCTTCTCCCTAAGAAGACTGAGAGGTGGGCCAAGAAGGATACTGAAGATTATTTTGTCTAATAGAAAGATGTTTCCACTTGTGGCACAGATCAAAACTAGGGGCCATAAATAAGGCAGTCACTACAAAGTTCGATTAGGAATTTAGGTGAAACTTCTCCAGTTGATTTCGTTAAGAATATGGAACTCAAAGAGTGGTTGAGGTAAATAGAATAGGTACGTTTGCAAGCTAGGCAAGGGCCTGAAGGAGAAGGAGATGTTGACAAGGTCAGATGGATTAAAACAGATGATGCATGAAGCATAAACACACGCCTGAATGTCCTGTGGTTGTACTGCAAATTCAAACTCCATGTTCAAGCATTAACATAAAAACACAGCAAATCACATGGAAGTTAAAATCGCAAGAAAATCAGGGGGATAAAAAGGAGGATCAATGTAGGAAAATCAAAGCAGGCAAAACTTACTCAACGCCATTAAGTGTGTTTCACACAAATCAAAACTAGCAATGGCCAGGACGCGTGAAGGAGATATTCCAATAGGATTTCCTCCCTAAATCTTTCACCACAACAGATAAGTAACACTCAAAAATGCAGTTGTAAACTATGTGGTAGTGCTGTGAAAACCATTCGTTAAAACAGTTCGGCAATAGGAAGTATACAGATATCAAAATCTCCGAGGGAATGAGAAATATTCAGTGATTGAGATACTGTAAAAGTCATCCTACAGGAAGGATATGAATTGCTAATTGCCAGTTATAAGAAACTTCAGGCTTGAGAAAACATTGGAGATGTCAGGACTGATTTCTTTAGAGAAATTTGATGGAAATTTTGAGAAGTTATAAGAAGTTTGGCAAGAGTGAATACAGAGAAATGAATCCCATTCGTAAACAAAGGGTACAGATTTGAAGTGTTTTGCTAAAGCAGCACACAGCTCATAGTTAGGGTCTGGAATGCACCGTCTGGAAGTGTGCGGGAGACAGGTTCAATCAGGGCACTCGAGAGCATTGGATAATTATTTAATTGTAATCAAATGTGGGGAGCTATGGCCAAAAGGCAAGAGACTGACGTTAGGTTAAGATGCTACGAGACCCAGGGCAATAACAATGGGTCAAATGGCCTCCTCCTGCACTGTAACAATTTTGTCATTTCTTTGTAATTTGTATTATTCCTTTACATAGTATTTGGGCATTTTGGAATATTTCAGTTATTTCCAAGATTTAAAGTAGTAAATGATAATCAAAGCCTTTAAAGAAGTCAACCAACTGAGCCATGAAGATTAAAATGAAGTCTAAATTAATGAAATAATATGTGAGCTTTTAGTTAATTCAGAACTCGAGTACTTTCGAAGTTAAAAGTGGATCCAATAACTGATTTACATGGACAGGATACAACTTACCTCAGAAAAAAAGAAAAAATAAAGGAATATGGCTTGGCATGTGTGCAGTGCAAGAGGTTACATGTAAATGAGTGCATGAACCAAGAAATAGTTTGATTTACGCAATGGCTTTCATGATATTTTGAAGGGTTGGCATTATTGCAATGCCAGAAAGGGGAGGCAACTTGCACACAGCAAGTTATCACAAATAGCAATGTGATAAACAATTGAGGGATAAATATTTACTCATACAGATGGGGTAACATGCAGGCGCTTGTACGAAATGGTGCACCCTTTATGTCTGAGGGGAAGATGGTACATCAGTTTAACATCTCACCCAAAAGACCTTTGTCACTACGACACCATCATAGTACCCTCAATCTCCTCACTTCAAAAAAAAGTGCAAAACCACTGAGCAAGAGAGAAAGAGACTCCATAAATCCAGTAAAACAGCTCTACAGTAGGTAGGTTGACGCTTCCTGAGGGAATCCTAACTGCTAAACTTCCAACAGAAGGTGGGAGGAGGAAAAAAAACAAATGTTGTTGGATAAGATTAATAGTTACTGAAATGAGTCAACACAAAAAAAGTCAATAATCATGCATGTGATCAGAGTCTGGTCTGTTTACTTCATCAGCCTTTCCTCACTGAAGGTCATGTGAGAATAAGGCTGGGTCAGGAAAATTCAATGGACTAATAGCAAGGCAAGAGGAATTCATTGAGAAGATCTCAACTGAAGAATCCAGAAGAGCATTTTGAAATGTTTCCCAAAGATGATGTAAACAAAAGCAAAAGAAAATGCTTACATTTAAAGCTTTTTATTATCCTTCACCATAATTGTTTTACAATACAAATATCACCTTGTGTATACACAAAACTACAGAAAAGAACTTTCTTTCACATAAAATACAGAATGGAGATCATATAATTTGCAATAAAAAACTATTTCTCACGTTGGCAAATAGAGACTTCATTTTCACTTGACTTCTGATTTGGGAGAGACTACATGCATTATTTTGCACAAATATAATAAAATTTATAGAAATAGAGTATCTTTGTAGCTGATTTACCAACTAATGGGTCAGAGGAGCATGAATACTTTGCTAGTACTTAAACCTCTGCACATAAATTCAATTTTTTTGCCTTCATGTTATGACTTGATATTTCAGAAAAATGCAAAATCTGTAAAAAGGAAGTTGAAATACAACTGTTAGATTTGCTGTGTTGTACTTCCCATTTATATACTAAAATAATTTACCTGTACAGTTATATATCTAACAGGACATGCCCATAGTTAGTAAATTGAATATTACCATTTTCTTTTATTTTGCACCCAATATCTCAAATTATTCAAGACAGAGTGTGCACAAACATTAACTACAAAACTGAATGCTCACTGTTGAGCTTACATTTTGCAATTCTGCAACAGTTAATTATTAACTCAATACTCAAGGTAATATACATATAGGCTTTTTGAGTTTTCATATACTATGTTTTCACATCTGAGACCACCTACTGACCATACAATCAGGACAAGAAAAGGCACTAGAAAACAAACAATATCAGTCAAAATTTCCACCCAGTGTTGATTTCATTCTTGCTATAATGTTTGTGTTGGAGTCCACCATTCCATGCAGATCTCATTTTAAATACTTGGAAAAACTTGTGTAGATTTTTTTTTGCACTGCCACATTCATTTAACATAAATAACAAGAATGATTACTACAAAACATTTTTGCACTTAAGTTCCATTTGCCACATTGTTCCAAAATGCACAAGAATTTGTTTGCAAACAGAACCTAATCTTTATTTTCATCAACAATTTTTTAATATCTAAACATTTCTAAGAAAATGGCTTTTAAGCCCAGTCTTTGGGGCAAGGATTATTAAAGATGAATTTCTGATTGAAAAAAAATACAATTTATCTCAGACATCTTTGCAGACATATGCGAAAGAAAACACTAGCAGACAGGACACAATTGCCACTGATGCAGTTAATATCAAATACAATTAAACGTGATTTTGTGTTTATGGCATTTACCAAAGACAAAAAGACAATTAACAAAGAAAGATTATACAGTGCATGTCAATCGTTTTTGTTCTCCATAGTCCTTTGGAAAGATCACAGTGCTGACCAGTTAATTGGAACACTTCAGTAAAAGTGAATGTTGCAGGACATGAATTAGCAGAAAATTCACTATGGCATCAGCTCAACAGGATTTTTCAGCACTTTGCACAGTCCCTTAAATTATCTAGTGTTATGTATCAGTTACTAATCTGCTGTATTTAACTTTTCTCCCAAAGAACTGTGATATCGATGACCAGGAAAGTGGCAAATCGTATGTGTGAGGTACAATGCCTTGAACATTGCTTTCCAAAAACCGAAAGAACTTATACCACCACACTTGGGATAGAAAATTAGTCTTGGAGGGTTCCTTTAGTACCTTAAAAAGAAAATAATTTAAATATTGTAATTAGATCATACTTGTGGGAACAATTTACAAAAAGAAAATACATTATACATCGGGAATAATACATATGAAGAGAATGCAGCAGTTCAACAAAATTATCTTGCATTGGGCAAGGAGTTTACAATCTTGTGGCAGAAAGCTTTTGATTCTCTTGACAACAGACTGGAACTTTCAATATTTTACACTCTGTTAACCATCTTCCCAATCGTCTGCCAGAATATTTGTGCTGAAATTCAGAGCGGGGTACATTTCAATTACTATCTACAGAATCAAAGTTCAGATCTTATTTACTAACTGTATTTCCCTTCATTCCTAAACGAACGCAATGTTCGATATACAATTACATTGCAGGATCAAAACTTTTGGATCTCCCAATTATGTTAATCTCCACTGCCCACAGCTGGGGAGCATGATATGGTGGAAAAAAGCAAGAGAGGTCTACTGACAAAAATAGAAGGTCCAACATACTTATAAAAAAATTACCTACAGAAGTTCTAATGCAATAGTCTTAGGCAGTTATTATACCACAGGAAGTAATTAGAACACCACCGAATTTATCACTGACCAGCATGCCAGCCCTCTGTACAGCAATCCAGACAGCAGAATTCCACTATTCAATCCCTGTAGTCCTGCAAGATTATTTCTCACAAACTCCCACCCCCAATGTCATTTTGAAATTTTACTATCCTAGTAGGAAGTGTGTTTAAGGCCATTACCACTTACTGTCTCAAAAAAAAGTTCTCTCTCATATCCTTCCTGCCCAAAGCCTAAAATCTGAGTACCCTTGCCCGTGTACCATTTGCTAATGGAACAACTTACTTTGTCTAATTTGGTTAAACCTATCAACCTTGTACAAATCTACCAGATCTCCCCTCAGTACCCTTTGCCCTGATTTTCTCAACCTAATTTGGTAGTTGTAAATGCCTCTGCAACTCCTTGGGAACCTTCACATCCTTCCTAATAGTTTGACAGGAATCAATATTCTAGTTGTGATAAGGTTTAGTAAAAATTCCCCTTTTTCCTCATTGCCTCTATTTATAAAGGCCTTGGATGCTATTCCAATCCACTCTCAGTACGTGCAGTACCTTCAAAGACCTGTACATCTGAATTCCAGGTCCCTCTGTCTATGCAAAATTCATAACCGCAGCATTTAGTCTGTTGTTTGTGCCAGGAAAGTAATGGGTTCCTGTTTATTGGAGTTCAGTTACATTCTCTCCATGCTGAAAGGTGAAGGATGGCCAATTTGATGAGGAATTCAAGCGATAATACTTTCAGAACTGCCTCCCAGCATGTGTCAATGGGCAGCAATAGAGTTGAGAGTTAACAAAAGAGCAGACTATAAAGGAGAATCCAATTGCCTAAGTCTAATATCTAATAACTGAATCAGTAATTATTTGGCAACAATGAACCAACGTTCCAAGCCTTTAGACAAGTAAACATTCAAATCTTCATGGAGTAGGTCAATACACTTGTCTTCTTTTTAATTTTCCAAAAGAATCTGCTGTGCCTCATTCAGCTGCATTCTCAATCATAACCAAGCCATCATGCAGAGATGAAGAAATGTAGTGATATCTTTTTATATAGTTAAAAGGAGTAGCATTCCAACCCAGCTAAAGAGTTCTTTTTTCTCCCAGAAGGGTGAGAGGATAGAAAAGAGCAAACAGGAACTTGTACTTCTTCGTGTACAAGGGAACTGGCAGCTGTAGTACAACACTGAAAAAAAATTAACCACATATGTTTGTAAATTCAACATAAGCAGTTAATTAGGAAGACAACCAAATGGACGATAGATAATCCTCAAACATGCATTCACTCATTAGATTGACGTAAACAGGCTCAGCCATGTAAAGAGCAATTCATGTCATCTTCACTTTGCTCCAAACACTAGCTTCAAATTCTGACAACCTCAAACAGCTGCATGTTTTCATTTTCCACCAGAAACAGCTTACTGTACGCAGTCACATAACACACTAGAAAATGAGGTTATTCATAAGGGAGGTTGAAAGGCAAATGCCATCTTAATTGTGAATCACTGCACTAAATGATATGGTAGACTACAGGGAGAGCAGGCTCACCTGCTCCTGGGCTGGATGCCGCTCTATTCTGGACTCTCCACTGCTATTCACATCCCTCCAGGCCATACTCTCTTCTCTCTGGCTCTTACTCTCCCACTTCCCCTCCGTGTGTGCAGTTGTAGCAGCATGTGGAAGAGTCAGCACACATTAAAAGTCAAATTTCCCACTGTGGGAGCTAAGGTGACTGATCATGCATGTTATTGGTGGATATGAGTTTTCTTTAAATTAAAGGGCTCTTGGTTAGAACAGGTGTCATCTTACAGAAGATGTATTGCAGTTATATTGCAAGGTCCAAACTAGGGCCTTCTCATTTCTGGTCCAGTTTACAGCTTACAGTATAAATAAAGCAGACTACCCCACAGATTCTCACAAAGATGTAAATAATCCAATTTAGCCAGAGCTGGGATAGAGCTAGATTAAGCATCAATTAAACCACAGAGATACACATTTCAAAGAGGACTTTTGTTATATAGATGCAAGAGTTTTTAAACTTAAATATGTTAACAACAAACTTTGCGAACAAAATATATTGATTTCATAAGGAGAAACTTACTTCTTGGTTGGCCATAGTATGATACCACCAAAAAAGACGTGTAGTGATATAATATGCCACTACTACATCCACAGTGTAGTGGTCATGTGCGAGAAGAATGCAGAAAACCCCAACAATACTGAGAATCCAGCAAGACCAGTGATACAACCACCATCGCTTTGGAGAATCTGAAAGAAAGAAAGAAAATAGAAAAATTATTTCCTAAAATTCAGTAGTCTAAAACTTATGAACTGATTTTACATACACAGTGCCTTTGATGTTACAAAATTTCCCAAAAAGCATCTCTGGAAGCATTATAAAACAAAATGCATCACAGAATTACAGCAAGAACTATTAAGACAGATAAGCAAAGGCTAGGTCCAAGCTGGTAGGTTTTAAGGAGCCTGAAAGAGAGGAAAATATGATATAAAGATTTAGGAAAAGAATTCCAGAACTTAAGCGTTCAGGCAGCCTAAACAGCAGCACTAGTAGTGGAACAATTGAAATAAATGATGCCCCAGAAGCCAACCTGAGAGTGCTTTGCATTTAAATACAAAACATGAAGAAATGTAATTACCAGACGAAGTGATAGAATTGCATGCATTACATCAGGTTGAACTATAGATTCATAAAACATGAAGACCATTTCGTGAAAAATATCTGTTGACAATGTGAATACTTATTGTGTGGTTATATATCAAAACATCATCAGGTATCACCGATATCTTTTTACTTCTCGCTCTTAAAACAGTACTTCTCTCATCATCACCTTATGACAACACCTCCAGTAGTGTTCCAGGTCATTTCAAACCTAAAGTGCCAATTTGTAATGATCATCAATTGTTCACAGCAGCATAAATGCACCAACATTTTCCCACTGCTCTCAGTACATTTACATCATAAGGCTGACTTTTACATACATTATTGATAGGGAAAATAAAATGATCTTTCAAGATACAATATAGATCCTAAATAGATACAATATAGACGTTACTTTCTTGCTTCCAATGGCTTGACTGGCCCAGTACTTAGACCAAACTTGTTAATTCTTCCCAAAATCTTTTTCATAAGTTACATAATTACATAAGACTTTTCTCACACTTCCTCCACAGTGGATCTGTAATAAATCTGTTCATCCTGATTTCTAAAACATCCAAAAAAGACCACTTCTACAGTTTGGCTCTCTTAGTGCCACTCCACAGTCACTTCGGCTCCTTCTGCAGTTTGCCCATGCAGTGGAGTCCTTTCTCACATATCCCAACACATTATAACCCTTCATTACTTGCTCATCATTAGCATCAAGTTTGGCTCAGTTCATATTGCTCCATTCACTCCTGTTCAAGCACTTAACTAGGAATTGAAGCCAATCTATGGTTAAAACATTGTTGGGGATGCAGTTCTTCTATTAAACAGGTGCTCATTAAAAAATTCCACAACATCAACGTTTTTTATTCATCAATCTCAACTGGCTGTTAATTGCCTTGTTTATGCATTTTACAGTTGTAGGACAGAGACTGCATTTTAAGTACTTAACTGCTTGAAGTACTTGGAGACATTTGAAGTAAAAACATTGAGAATTGAAAATATTTATTGCTCTGGTTTACCATATTATAAATAACCAGTAAAATGCTCCAAGACACAAAGTCTAAAATAAATCATTCTTAATAGAAAATCCCTCATCTGCGATCACCACAGCAACATTTGCTTCTGCCATGGCAACAGTACAGCAACATGCTTTAGAAGGAAAAGCATAACTGATTGGCTTTGATTACTGGTTTAAGAGAAGGAATGGAATATTAATAGAGGAACTGAAGAAAGGCAAAATGATGAGGATGATAAGATGACAGAGTGTCAAGAGGGTCAGCAAGAAAGTCGTAATAATTGAGAGAAAGAACAGCAGGAACGGGAGAGGGAGAGGGACAGGGACAGAGACACACACAGTGCAGAATAAGAGAGTTATCACTTCGATCTCTTGGTTAAAAGACTCACCCTATGGATTCCTTGAGAACAAATGCTGAATAGGTTAATAGATGAAACAATTCAAACACTGCCCTCCAACCACAATATCCATACATGGTTTCTCCAACAGCGCTCATCATTTGAGTAGAGTCTATAATTGCATTTTCCTCCTCTCTGGTCTGGGATAGAGACTAACAATAATGCTTCCGTTATGGTCCCTTCTGAATGAACCATTCCAAGTACAACAGGATCAAAGCTGGAATCTATCACATTTATGTGCACCTATATTGCATTAATTTGTGTATTATTCACAGAGCCACTGGGAGTGCTGAATTATTCAGTTTTTTTCACTTATTTGGTACATTTCCTTACATGTATTTCCATTAAAAAATGAAAATAAAGGGATATTTGCATAACTTATAAGACAGCGGGACCAGAATCTCAAAATGAAACCTCAATAATGTTAATGTTAATGACGCTATTTACAAGCCATTCAAGAAATGTGGAATTTCAAATGCATTGGACGCTACAGAGGACGATTATCTATGGGATGGCAGAGGTAGCAGCAGCAACGGACAATGTGCTACCTCTAACTATGGACAGCGAAGACAAAGGGGATCCATACAATGATATCATTCATCCTGATGATTATGAAGCTTTATTCGGTGCTGAAGATATTGAACAGTGTGATTTTGCAGGATTTCAATGAATATTTGTAGTTGACACATTTAATTTCAGATGTACTGTGTAATTGTAATTTAAAGTCGTATTATATTTCTACTTCAATTTTTGCATGTATAAATGAAAGCCTAATTCATTTTTGTTTCTACTGTCTTTATGCAGTAATTACCATAATTCATTGCTTTGTTTCTTTATTTGTTTGGAGATCAATTGGGCTTCTGCTAACGATATGGTAGTTTGGACTGCGGCACGCAGCCCTTCAAAAGTAGCATCCATGTAATAGCCAACCCCACAACTTTAACCTTTAAAAAAAAAGTCTAAAAAGTTTGATTTTTACATGAGCATATATGGTAAGTGTTTCGAATTCTGCTAAAAAGTGTTTTAAATCAGGTCTCTTAAAAGAGAGAAATATCGAACAACTACATTGATGGCAATATTACTAAAATAATTATGGTTTCATAAAAAGGAACGTGCAAGATCTGAATTAGCATTTCAATGGAAGCAAAGACAATAAAAGAAAAAAAAAGTTCAAGGGCTTTTTAAAACTACAGTCACATTAAAGTACTGTTGGTACTGGAAAATATCCAGTAACACCCAGGAAATGTTAACATACCACAAATATTTGAGAATGAGCTATTGACAGAAATGAAGCATGACTGTATACATGATAAGTGCACAAAAAAAAGCTGGTAAGAGGAGAACAAACATTAGAAACGTTAGGAATGGCAAAAACCAAGGTAATACTAGAGAAAAAAAAAGGTTCCTCAATCCAATTTGCATTCAAATAAGCAGCCTTTTGGGCAGCCTCCACATTTAATTGGAATGTCATGCATGTGGAACTCAACACAATCTACATTATTAGTGTCAGATGAGCTAAATTTGAAATAGTCTGAAGTTACAAGGTTCAGGATAAACCAAAGTAAATGGAATATTTGGGGTGATGTAATAGAAAATCGCTTATTTCCCCAATAATAGAACTTGAGGCACACGATAAATTTTGTAGCACTAGAGTGCCAGTGATTGCCTGTTCCATATTTGGATACGCTGCACTTGTTCAATGGGCGAATAGTAATGACAAGAACAAAGCAATACTAGCATAAACATCTTTGCACTCTACAAAGCTCTTTGACTTTCTACTGTTACAAGCACTTTGAGGTAAAGTTTGCACTGAATCTGAACTACACCATCAAAAAAATGCTCTCACTCATCACTAGATGCAGAATATACAACTCCTTCATTCCAGCATACCTCAGACGTAAATCTGTTTATAAGCAAACATCAGAATCACTTCGGTCTATGGTTCTCTGGAACCTTCAGCACCTTATAGCCACTGCTTGATTGTCCCTCAGTTTGGCATGAAGGATCAGTGAACTGTAACTTGATGTACAAATTGTTCAAAAAGTTTTAGAAGAAAAATTGTCAACATAATTTTGTTTTGAAAAAGAGGAACTTACACTCTTTGATAAATAGGTAGGTGAGTGTTAACATAACAGTGTGGCCACTGTACAGGTAGTCTCCACACATGGTGTGCGCCCCTGTGATTGACAGCCCACCTCCAGCTATCATCTTCATAATTCTCCTAAACTGTGCTTCCATATCGCCAAACAGCTGCAAAATGAGAAAGAAAAACAATGTTTTAAATCAAACTGAAATAAAATTACTTGGGCTAATGAAATATTACACAAAATGTGAAACAACGTGGTTCTTGCAATAGGCTGCTTTGAACCACAAACTATTTTCACTGTGCTGGGCACAATAACTTTGCTTTAATGAAAAACATATTTGGAAAGTTAGGAGGCATTCTCCAGGATGATGATAAAGCATTCAGGCTGCATAAAGAAGTGGTCGTCTACAGTTGCTAATTGATGCTGTCTGGTTCAATTCAATCCTTCTCCAGCAGTAAGTACTCCACATCATTATCTTAACAAATTACATCAGCATGTAGCCATATACACTCTCAGTCCCACCTCAAAAGGCAGTTTCCTTGCATAGAGCTCGATAACTTTTTCTCAGTTACTAGTGAAATGCATGCTATGAATTTTGCGGGAATAAATCAAATGAATTCCTTTGTCCTCTCCCCAACTTGTAGACTGCAACATGGAAAAGATTAAGACGGCACAATGCTATTGTATTTTGTACTTTTTTTTTTAAGACATTTTTCAGATGTACTGGGATCCAAAACATCCAAACTATTTCAATCAAACTAACTTTATACCTCTGGCACTATGGTATCAAATTGCAGACATTCATAATTAAATAAATTTGCAGCTTTTAAAAGCCGCAGTAAATAAAAACACAATCAGAAGGAGACAAGTCTGGTCATATCTTTGTAACATTCTGTCTCATCACGTCAGGTTTGGACAAACCATTTTGGTGGGATTAAAGCCTTTACCTCGGTCCTAACATTTGTTCATTTCTCACCACAGAACAGAACGTATAAGAACTGTTCCTCACATTGTTCCCATTTGCACGGTGCATGAATAGAGGAATAAGTAGACCTTTGATTTAGTAACTGCTCAAAAGACCAAGTTTAAATCCTCCTACCAAAAACTGACTTCCATAAATTTGACAATTCATCAACTGACTGAAGGGTAAGAACGATGACCATTGATGTTGCCTCATGCTCTCCAGGAAAGGAAACCTGATCTGATTTTAGGCGAATAACTCTTGATGCCCTCTAAAACTGCGTAACAAGCCGCACAAGCGTGAAAAATTAATACGCAGGAAGGCCAATATCCACCTTCTCAGGCAACAGAGGCCTGGCAATAAGGAAATGCACCCTTGGCATGAAAGCAATGTAGAAACTTAAAAGAAACCAATGTTCTCAGCATCACTTCATCTCTATTATGGCACTTGCTCAAACACATTTCTTGTGTTTGATCTCATCATACCTTATTATCGCTTTCTAGGAATCTAAATGATAATGGTAATCACATTCCTTTCAAATGAAGGATAAAAACAAATCTGTGGAAACTGGAAACCCGAAACAAAAACACTAAGTGCTCGTGAAGCTCAGCCATCCAACAGTACGTGTAAAAGAGAAAAACAGGGTAAATGTTTGGAGTCCAGTGGCCCTTTGTAGAAACAATTTTGACAAAGTTAGTGGACTCGAAATGTTATTTTTCTCTCTACAGATGCTGCCAGATCTGCTGAGTTTCTCCAGCACTTACTGTTTTTCTTTCAAATATAGTTGATGCTTTTAAATATTTGCATTGGCCAAAAGTATTTTGTTGGTCCTGCTTTGGAGCCATGTAGTGCCATGAAGGTTGTTCAATTTCCAACACTCAAGCAAATATAGTGGGTTTCTATATGTAAATGGTTTTAAAATCAAACTGGTTAGATATGTTATTGCACATCTCCAGTGCAGAACTCAAGTCTCCTGGCTCAGACAGGAACACTAACCACTGCATCACAAGAGCCCCAGTTTCTGAATGCACGCTGATAACACCCAACTTTACCTTCCGACTTCACACCTCTATTCCAACACTGCTACTGAACAATGTTAAGTGTTTATCTTAATATAGGTAAAGGTGAAGCCATTATTTTTGCTGTTGGCTCTTACCATTCAGTGCTTTTAACACCAGCAGCCTTTCCAATTGTTTTCTTTGGCCAAGTCTGATGGTGTAGCAATTTGAGCAGGCTTCTAAACATGCAACTTCTATGAAGACCATCTTTTTCACGATTTAAACGTGCTGCGCATCAGCCCAGTATTTTCTGGTTAATATAACATACACAATATCCTGATTTTCCAAGTTTGTTAATGTGGGCACAACTTCGATGGATCAAAAGTTTCATCTCATACAAAGGTGCATCTTTAACCTTGCCCATTTGTTCCTTAACTGTGGTCAGTGGAATCCGTGCTTTGTCAGCTATATTTTCTTATTAAACTAAATGAAAATATTTTCCAGAACAGCGAGTACTTCCTGATCCTGTAGCTAATATCAGGACTCCGAAAACAATATGTTCAAGTCCATTTGAACACGTATCCTATGCTGACATATTAGTTCGGTGCTGAAGGAGTGCTGCATCGTTAGCACTGCCACCTTTAAGGTGAGATGTTCATGTCCTGCCTGAGCTATCTTAAAATATAGAACTGCAGATGCTGTAAATCTGAAACAAAAAAGTTGCTGGCGAAGCTCAGCAGGTCTGGCAGCACCTGTGGAGAGAAAGCAGAGTT